TAACACAGGGAAATATACACAAAATGTTATGATAACTCACAGAGAAAAAAAGGGGCAATGAGTGTGTATATGTCCATGAATGACTGAAAAATTGTGCTGAACACTGGAATTTGACACAACATTGTTAAGTGATTATAAATCAATAAAAATGTTAAAAACAAAAAACACAAAAATACTTCAGTAATACCATTTAGAAAATAGTTTTGTATGTTAATAGGAATACCTAGAGGATCTTAAAGAAAAATAAAATTTTTACAGAAGGGAAAAAAAAGAAAGAAAAACAGATGGTTGTTGCCAGAGTAGGGGGTGGGGGTGGTAAATGGTTGAAGGTGGTCAAAAGGTACAAACCTCCATTTGTAAGATAAGTAAGTTCTGATGCTGTAATGCACAGCCTGGTGACACAACTGATTACGCAGTCTTGAGGACAAGTGAATAGTGCTATAGAAAAATTTAATTAAATCATAACATCTTCATAATCTCATAATAGCCTCAAAACTAAATTCCAGTTGATGTGAAGCCCTAAATGTGAAAAGTATTAGAAGGAAATACTGAAGAGTATCATTATGACCTTTGAATTGGGAAAGATTTCTAAAATAAGATACTAAAAGTACAAACTATAAAGGAAAGAAGGATAAATTTGACTACATTAAGAAATTTAAGAAAACTTAAATTTTTCTTACAATAGAAGATACAACAAATGCATACAAATACAAATAAATGCAGTTTAAAAATCCATATATCCTACAAAGATTATCCAACATACGTAAAGAGTTTCTATTAAAAAATAAGGAAACCACAAACAACCTAATAGAAAAGTAGTCAAAGTATGTGCTGAGGAAATTCACAGATGAAGTAACTCAAATGTGCTATAAACATATGAAAAAATGTTCAACCATGCTAGTGACAAGGAACTGTATGTGAAACAATATTGGGGTATCATTTCATAACAAACAAAAATCCAGTGATACTAACAGTTGACTAGAACATAGAGATTCAAGAACATTTCCATTGTCCTGGTAGGCATGCATCATTTCGGAGCAAATATATTCATAACCTCATTGTTTATGGTGACATTAGAAGATTCGATACACAAATTTTGGCATATTACAATTTGTATATCATACAATGAAATACTAAAGAGCATTGAAATGGCTAAACTAGGCTTATTTGTATCAATGTGAATACAACTCAAAGAATTAATCTTGACTGGAAAAAAGCAAGTTGAGAGTGAGACTCTTGGTGAAGTACCATTTATAAATAGTTAACACAGATAGCAACACTAGAGTTCATATTTAGAGACATACATAGAGTAAAAGCATAAAATAAGCATTTTCTGGATAGTGTTTCCCTCCAGAAAAGAAGGAAGAAAAGAGAAAAGAAGGTAAGAGAGACTCAGATCATTTCAACATTATCCAAAATGCTTTTGTTCTTAAGGAAAGAAATCATTTCAAAAATCTGATAGAACTGCATAAGATTACCCACAGTTCATTTATTCTCCATAGTTCCCTGTGAAATATTGAAATCCTCATTAAAAAACAAAACCAATGAAAGAGAGAAGTATGATCATTAGCAGGATTTGCACACTGCAACTCTTTTTAAGAGAAAGAAAACCAGGCAAGTTTCTTCACATGCAGCTAGGAAACACTGGATGGCAGGAAGTCACTTACCAGTTTTTAAGATTTGGATGGGACTTAAGTGGAGTATTCAGCTGCTCTGTCTGATTTGTGAAACAGCCACAGTTTGGAGACAGAAAGTTCTGCCGAGATCAGTGGCTTCCCATCAGAAAGAAAGGAAAGTGAAACTGAAATCCAAAGCCGCAATCAGGAAACAGCAATTTGATTGCTGTTAAGTTTCTTTTTCCTTACAGTCATTAAGTTTCTTTTTCCATAGGAAAAAAGAGAGAAAACAAGACAAGAGAGATTCCTGCTGAGCACATGAAAATCATCTTTGGTCTTCTCAATATCCGACATCTAGACACGTGTGAAATGGCAATTATTAATTTAAAATTACAATAAAACTAACAGCTAACATTTCTTGTGCAGTTAACTATGTATTTGGCACTGTGCAACTACATGCATTTTCCTAGTTTCTGCTCAAAGCAATCTCATACAGTCAACAGTATTAGTAAGTAGCCTTATTTCTCAAAGTGTGAAAATGAAACTTAAGGACATTAAGAGACTTTGCCCAGAGCAATTCAGCTGATAGAGTGATGTAGTTAGCTGCTATTCAAAACCCAGTCTTTCCACCCTGGAACAAACAGATGGTGGTTTGACTTTTCCTGAAAGGGCAGTGCACAGCATCTTTCTCATTTATACATTCATTTATTCAACATTGGCTTAGACCCTGGGGAAGATAACACTGAGTAAGATAAAATCACTGCCCTCAGGGACCATGCCATGTACTCATGGAGACGATACACAGACATGTTAGTGTGCTAAGTGCTACAAGAGGAAGAATAACAAGATTCTCTGGGGACCAGGATAACTGTGACCTCACCCAAGCTTAGGGCACTAGTAGATAGCTTGCCAAAAGATTGACATTTAGACTGAGACGTGAATTACAAGGAAGATGTGGAGCAGGAGAAAGTAGAGTGTTATCAGAGAACTTCCAAGAGTTTTAGTCTGACCGGAAGGGAGTGACAGTATCAGACCGGCAGGCAGTGAGGCTAGGGAGGTGACCAGGATTTTTTAAATCTTATTTAAGCTGGATTTGTATCAGGAAGACAATATTAACACTCTAAAAGCAGGGGAATGGCATGATCCAAACTGAATTATCTTAGAAAGAAAAGTACATTTGTATTTTCTTGTTTTGTAACAAATACCATAAACTTAGAGACTTTAAAACAACCCATATTTATTATTGCATAGTTTCCAGAAATCAGAAGACCAAGGGAGGGGGCAGGTAGGTATAGCTCAGTGGTAGAGTATGTGTTAGCATGTGTGAGGTCCTGGGTTCAATCCCCAGTACCTCCATTAAAAAAGAGAGAGAAAGGAGGCTAGCATGGCTCAACTGGATTCTCTGCTCAGGGAACCTTACTCAAGGGGGTTGGCCTGCGATGGTCTCATCCTTCTCTGGGAGAGCTCTTTCAAATAATGGCGAAATTCAGTTCCATGCAAGTATAACACTGAGGTCCCCACAGAATAGAGTGCCCAGGAATGAACCCACAAACTTCTGGTCAACTCATCTTCGACAAAGGAGGCAAGAACAGACAATGGAATAAAGACAGTCTCTTCAGCAAGTGGTGTTGGGAAAACTGGACAGCAGCATGCAAATCAATGAAGTTAGAATGCTCCCTCACACCATACACAAAAGTAAACTCAGAAAGGCTTAAAGAGTTAAACGTAAGACAAGACGCTATAAACCTCTTAGAAGAAAACATAGGCAAACATTATCTGACATAAATCTCAACAGTGCTCTCCTAGGGCAGTCTACCCAGGCAATAGAAATAAAAGCAACAATTAACAGATGGGACCTAACTAAACTTATAAGGGATAAAATGAGAGTTCAAGATTTGCAGATACTGACTAACATATATAAAATAGATAAACAACAAATTCATACTGTACAGCACAGGGAACTGTATTCAATATCTTGTGGTAACTTATGGTGAAAAAGAATACGAAAACAAATAGATGTATGTTCATGTATGACTGATGCCTTACGCTGTACACCAGAAACTGACACAACATTGTAAACTGACTATACTTCAATAAATACATATTAAAAAAAAAAAAAAGACTGAGGTCCCCTTTCCTTTGCTGGCTGCCAGCTACTCTCAGCTCCAAGAACTGCTCCCCATTTCTTGCCCATAATCTTCTCACTCATCTGAGGCTTACACAACATGGCCACAAAAGAATCCTCCAAGACCAGCAGCAGAACCTCCCTTGTGCCAAATCTTCTTCAGAAAAAAGCCCCTTTCTTTTAAGGGTTTACTGGTTGCATCAAGCCCATTGAAGATAATCTCTCTTTTAAAGCCAATAAATTAATCATGGACGTGTTCTCTCATCATTTTCACTTGACGGGGGGGAGTTGCATAAGGATGTAGGTCATGGCAGTGGGGACGGGTGACCATCATAGACTTCTATCACAAAGGGCAAGACTGAGATCAAAGAGACCACTTTTTAGCCTTTTCCATTTAGTTATTTATTCAGCCATTCACGTATCTATCCTTTCTTTCTTTCTTTGGACATATAGTTGATCTACAATACTGTGGTAGTTTCAGGTGCACAATATAGTGATTCAGTATTTTTACAAATTATAATCTATTGTAGGTTATTTTAAGATAATGGGCGTAATTCCCTGTGCTGTACAGTAAATCCTTGTTGTATATCTATTTGTTACATAGTAGTTTGTATCTGTTAATCCCATACCCTGAATTTGTCCGTCCCCCTACCCTCTCCCCTGTGGTCTCCTTTTTCACGCTTCCAGTTCGTCTGTAGCCTTTTCCTGGTACAGACACAGGAGGGACTCTTTTTTCGCTGTACTGTCTGGCTTTGAACACTTTATTTTCTTTCCACTCATTTTGCTTTTTCTCATCACATGTTTCCTTTCTTTTCGATTTTCTGTCTCCTCAACGTTTTTCCTTCCTTGACTTTCTTCCTTGCTCTCTGGGGTTTGCCTCCACTTTTGTTTGTTATTCCTTAGCTGCTTAATATACATTTGAAGAATGAATTAAATGAAACAGATGAATGGGGTCTTAGAAACCCCAGCATTAAAGAAGAGCCTGGTCATGACCATTTTGACCCATTTTCTAAAGAGAAAGTAGAACATATTCAAAGAAAAATGTCTCTGAGAAAATAAAAGTAACGCAAAAAAAATTTTCCTTATGATTAAGTAATTTTCTTTCCTTATGGTTAAACATTTAACTTCATTTATTGATTTCTTATTATCTTTATTGTAGATGAACAGTGAATTAATTTAAACATGATACTCAGGAAGAACAGCCTACAATACTGAATGTAATTCCAAATTTGGGCTACGATCCACTCCTCTAGGCATCTACCAGGAAGATATGCTTCCAACAGTGCAAAAATACACATCCACAGGGTTATTCACTGCAGCATTCTTTATAATTGTGAAATGTTGGAAACAACGTCAATGCCTATATATAGGAGATCAGCTGAAGAAACTGTACATTACACAATGGAGAAATACGCAGCTATAAAAAGATCTCTGTGAACCAATATAAAGTAATTTCCAGAATATACTATTATGTGAGGGAAGTAAGTGCAAAAGTGAGTATCTATAGTCATGTGCCTTTCATGTAAGAAAAAATATAAGAAAATATACATGTATCCACTCATTCACGCAAAAGAAATGCTGTCAGCCTTCCATATGCAGAGGTTCCACATCCGCAGATTCAACCAAATGCAGATTGAAAATATTCAGGAAAAAAATTCCAGAGAGTTCCAAAAAACAAAACTTGAATTCACCACACACCAGAAACATGGTGTTTACATTGTTATTTACTACTATTTACATAGCATTTACATGGTATTGGGTATTATAAAGAATCAAGATAAGATTAAAGTATTTGGGAGAATGTGCATAGGTAATATACAAATACTATTCCATTTTATATACGGGACATGAGCATCCGTGGATTTTGGTACCTACATGTGGTCTTGGAACCAATCCCCCCAGGGATACCAAGGGATGGCTGCACAAGAATGATAAACCAGAAACTCAAGTGATTGGTTACTGACTAGTGAGAAAGGAGTAGGGTAAAATGGGGACAGAGAAAGGAGGAGTAGGTTGAGGAGGGCACATCACTTCTCTAAGTATATCCTTTTGAATGGATAAAACATACTCTCAGAACTATAATGTTTCATGTACCAGAACAAATAAATAAACAATTCAAATCAATCAAGAGGCAGGAAGAACCCAGAATGCAGTACAGACAGCAGCAAATGAACCTAACCTAGCCGTGCGCCCAGAAACGATGCAACTACATTGAAGGTGAAGGATGGGGAAGAAAAGGACCAGCCTAAGTAATGAGTACTTTGACTACATTCTCCAAGGGTAAAGACAAAAAGAAGTGTAAAACACCATACTTTAGTTAAGAAATGTGTTCGCAATGGGGGTTGGATTAGCAATTTTGAAATAAATTCATGTTTGTTTCAACTGGAATTGAAGAAAAAAGCAAGTATATTTACATAATAAGAGTTAGGCTTCTCTTTGCTAAAGAAATTACAAATAAGAAGTGGAAGAGGGTTAGCAGGAATTTTGTAGTGCAGGATTGGAACTGCAGCAATTGGCCTGAGCACATATACAGATAGATGGATAAAGAAATAAATATAGATGTGTGTGTGTGTGGATTAGTATGCAAACATATATTCCTAGATCTGTCCAGTAAGAAAGGACTATCTTGTGATGTCAGAAAATAAGAAGGTGCTCAAAAAAATGTCTAAAAGATACAAGACGGCCAAAAGGGAAATAATTTGAAAAACAAAATAAATACTAGTATTAAATTACAACCTTAAGAATAAAATAAATAGCTGTGAGCCCATCCTGATATAAATAATTTAATAAGTAAATAAATGAGAAAGTACAGCTCTGAATTCCAATTCATAAATGTAGTAAATATAAGGGAAATAAAAAATCAATATTAGTTAAATTCCGTAAGATTCATCAACAATGTATGCTAAAATTAAAGAGTGTAAATTTAAGGAGAAATAGGATATTTACGAAGTTTCAAAATATCTCTCACAAGATATTTACTAATTTTGAAGGAAATGTTGCTCATGTAAAGAAGAGAAATTCGACAGACACCACCTTGACTAAGTAATTGAGGTTAACATGACCAGGATAGAC